CGTACTGTTCAATATCTTCATCAATGATGTAGATATGGGATAGAGAGTACGCTTATTAAGTTTGCAGATGATACCAAACTGGGTGGGGTTGCAACTTCTTTGGAGGATAGGGACATAATTCAAAATGACCTTAGCAAGTTAGAGAAATGGTCAGAGGTAAACAGGATGAGGTTTAATAAAGAGAAATGCAAAGTGCTCCACTTAGGAAGGAACAATCAGTTCCATACATACAAGATGGGAAGCGACTGTCTAGGAAAGAGCATGGCGGAAAGGGATCTAGGGGTCATAGTGGACCACAAGTTGAATGAGTCAACATTGTGATGCTGGTGCAAAAAAAGCAAATATGATTCTAGGTTGTATCAACAGGTGTGTTGTAAGCAAAACTCGTGAAGTCATTCTGCCGCTCTACTCTGCACTAGTTAGGCCTCAGCTGGAGTACTGTGTCCAGTTCTGGGCGCCACATTTCAAGAAAGATGTGGAGAAATTGGAAAGGGTACAGAGAAGAGCGACAAGAATAACTAAAGGTTTAGAGAACATGACCTATGAAGCCACACTTCATGAACTGGGCTTGTTTAGTTTGGAAAAAAGAAGATTAAGGGGGGACATGATAGCGGTTTTCAAATATCTAAAAGGGTGTCACAAGGAGGAAGGAGAACATTTGTTCCTCTTGGTTTCTGAGGACAGGACAAGGAGTAATGGGCTTAAAGTGCAGCAGGGGAGGTTTAGATTGGACATTAGGAAAAAATTCCTAACTGTCAGGGAGGTCAAATATTGGAATAAATTGCCAAGGGAGGTGGTGGAATCTCCCTCTCTGGAGATATTTAAGAACAGGTTAGATAGACATCTGTCAGGGATGGTGTAGACGGAGCTTGGTCCTGCCTTGAGGGCGGGGGGCTGGACTCGATGACCTCTCGAGGTCCCTTCCAGTCCTATTATTCTATGATTCTATGATCTTTTTCTTTTGTTTTAACATCTTTAAAAGATATTCTGCAGTTTTTGCTGACAGGACTATTTGTTGTTTTGTTTTAAAAGACAGAAAAAATAAAGGCGAAAATAAATCCAGCTCAAGGCTTGTGCCAGCATCTGACAATATAGATTCTGGCAGAGGGCTGTAGTATAAGAGAGTATGCTAACAAACATCACAGTAGTGATGAATTCTGCAGTATTTCTTGAAGTAGAATAATGGGGAAGTGAATCACTATTAGAGAAAATGGGTATGACGGGTCAAGGAGGTAGACAGCCTAAGAAGATGATGTGCTAATCTCTCAGCAATTTTTGTCAGACCCTGTGATTGGGTATCTACCCCACAGAAGACCTGAGTGGGTTAGTATGGGCTAGAAGGACCCAGTTAATCTTACATACACCACCTGGAGGGGAACCAAGCGTTAATAGGGCCTAATGACAGGTGAAGTCCAGCTGCGGGAGGAACTGGGCTAAATTTAGAAATCAAGACGTGAGCATAAGCAGGATGTCTGCAGTCTGTCTCTAGAGGGAAAGGAAATTGGCTAGAGATAAGTAGCAGTACAAAGGGAGAGTAAGCAGGGTCCTGTCTTTGACTGGGGAGTCCAGCGAGAGGGTGAGAGTGATGAAGTAGCCATGGAGAGCAAAGGAATTTAAGGTAGTAAACAAGAGATAGGTAAGGCTATAGATAGGTGGAGTAGCAATGACCCCAGGGAAACAGCACCAAGATCTGAGACTGAACAGACTTAGATTGCTAGTCGTAGGGTCCCTGAGCTAGAGCTCAGAGTAGTGGGCAACATTTAAGCTACTAGCCTCTGGGAAAGTGGCACCAGACCTGGAGACTTGGAATAGAAGACTGAGAGAGAGTCCATACAGCTTGTCTGGGTAGAATTTATTAATCTGTAAGGTAGCCATTATTTAGTCTCCTGGCTAGATGGCTCAGTCACTAAGAGAGAGTCCCCTGAAACCTGTAGGGGGAGGGGGAGACCACAAGACATGAGGCCACCACATGGAGTGAGAGCTTCTTTCCAGATCTAGCCCCAGTGAGAAGCATCTGTGGTGAATGACATGTTTACAGGCCCTCAGCACAGCCACTCACATACTTGAAAGCTGCTGCCACTCAGTGATATTCCAAAAGCTGTGATAGCGCCTATTGTCTTGGTGTGAATCCCTGCTTCAGTATGATTGGCCGGACAGGTATAACTTAGAGCCTTAGTCATATAAACATTCGCTTCAGAGTGAAAAGTGATATGTGTGTAAACAGAATTTTCTTGTAATATTTTTATTTGGAATATGCTGAATGTCATTATCTGCTTCATTAGGTTTTTCTGCCAGAAAACTGATTTCACCTACTGATAGTAAATGGTGGTGGTAGCTGGTTAAGGAGATTAGCCTAATTTCTCATGTAAGAGAAAAGCATTAGATAGTGTCGTTTATTTATATTAAGATGTAATGTTCAAATTGAAGCAAAGCTATTCACTAGTAGTAATTCCCAATCAGTCAAAACCTCCCCTATGCTCATTCTCTGTTGCTTTCTTTCTTGGAATAGGGCTTTTCCTTATCTTTTAGAAGGAGACTTAAGAGGAAACACGATAAAAGTGAATGGTATTGAGAAGTAGGGATGTAAGAGACTAGTCAACTATCCTATAATCAGAAGCTTATTGAATAGTCGACTAGTGATACGACTAGTCGCTTCCCTCCACCCTTGCTGCCTCGGGGAGCAAGAGCCGGTGCTGGGGGGAGCCAGCATAAAATCTGGTTCTTCCCAGCACCATCTCTGCAGGAAACAGGGGAGGTAGAGGCACAGTGGAAACAATAAAATCTGGTTCTTCCCAGCACCATCTCTGCAGGAAACAGGGGAGGTAGAGGCACAGTGGAAACAACATGAGTGAGGACTGAAGCAGTCTCGGCTTGTGCTGCTTCTGCTGCAATTCTGCTTTTGAAATGTACAAGAGCCCCACCAGGGCTCTTGTACGTTTTAAAGGTTGATGCACCGCAGGGAGCACGAGGCCAGAGAGGTCCCCCGCTGGTCCCATGCTTCCTACAGGACTTCCTTTTGAAATGTACAAGAGCCCCAGAGGGGCTCTCATACATTTCAAAAGGAAGCCCCATGCTTCAGAAGCAGAGGTGACCTTATAGACTAATTGAATAGACTGATGGAAATCCCATCAACTATTCGATTAGGTAATTAATGTAAATTTAACATCCATATAGAGAAGGTGAATTGAATGCTTCTGCTTTTTTTTATCTCCTAGCATAAGGAAGAGCCATTCAGTGAAACTGAATGACAACTTCAGCACTGATAAATCTTTTTACACAGTATGTAATTAGACTGTGAAACACTGCCCTGGGTTATTACTGAGACCAAGAACTTAATTTAAGCAATCTCATTATCTTTCTTTCCTGTCACTTTAACTATATCACCCAGGCTTTGGTACCTGCCACTGGCTTCCCCATGTTCATTGTGTTAAGTATACAGGTCTTATTTTCCTTCAAGTTGCTAAAAGCTCCAATGTGAACCTTAGACCATATCTCTCTCTTTATCTCCCACAACTCCACTACTGATGCCCCGTTTGTTTATTTTTACCATGCCTGCCCCTATGCTCTTCTGTATCCTATCTTGTATCCAGTGAACCCTAGTATATCAAAATGCCACCTTATTTCTATTCAGATCATTCAGCTCAACTTCTGTTTGGAAAAGTTGAGTTCATAAGAATAATTAAAAAAATACTTTGTAATTCCTTCCTTTTTTTCCTGTAGATATCTTTTCAACTGAAAAATCTTAGGGAGCATAGACTTTGTCTCCTGTATATATTTTTATCTTTGTATCTTGTTCCGTGCGGAGTACATTGTGGGAACTAAATACATGAGAGTAACTTTTATATAAATGACAAAGTAAATCTGTAGCAATCTTGCCGATTTTTATCATTAGCTAAATCTGGTTGTACTTATAGTATTGTTACTTCTAACTTCTGTTACTATGCAGTTCTTGTGCATGCTAACTGTAGATATATAAAATGCCCGTGGCTGGTCTGTGTCAGCTGGCTTGGGATGTGGGGTTATATAATTGTAATGTAGACATTTGTGCTGAGGCTGGAGCCAGAGTCAGCTGACACAAGCCAGCCATGAGTATCTTAACTGCAGCATAGAAAGACCCATGGGGTCCAACACCACTCCCATGGAAGTCTGTGGGAGACTCTCCATTGATTTCAGTGGGATTGAGATCAGATTTTTAAGGACGTGGTCCTGACAAAACTTGCTTCTAGGAGTAGTGTTCTTCTGCAGTGTTTAGTCTTATAGCTACAGTCAGGACTGCTTCCTGAGGGCTCTGACAATACTCCCATGTGGGCTAACTAAGCTATTCCTCATGTTGTTGTTGTTGGTGATGCTGTGGCTGGCCAGATTGACACATGCACTCTCATGAGATGCACATGTTGAGATGCAAAGCATGGTTTTATCCATCCTTAAGAGATTCTTTATGGCCTAAAATAGCTTTCAAAGAACAGATGTATGAAGAAAGTTACATGCAGAAAATGGAGTAAAAATTACTGGTACAACATTATGAAAGGGCTAATTATTCACTTGAAATAATATGCACTTTGTAGGGGGAAAACGGTATAAATGGTGCATAGCATGTTATTGACCCAGCTCCTACATTATTAGTTTTGTGTGACCAATATAATAAAAAACAGCTGATATATATACAGATATAATATGAACATAAACTGTGAAAATGAAATAAAATGAATTTGAATTTAAAATGTGTTCTGGGTGTCTCTTCATGATAATGTATGCACTTTCATTCATAGGGAGGAATATAACCAAGAACAAATCACTCATAATTATACGTGTATCAGGATGATAGTGCAGATACTTTGATTAGAACAGCTGAAGGTTAGTGTGGACTGCTTTGCTGTAGAAAAAGCAAGAGCGATTGTTAGATCTAAGGATAATTGCAAGATCATTCTGTTCATGTCCTCTTTGCTGTTTAATCTCGGTGATAACAGATATGTCAGAATCCTTGACTTTGACTGCAACAGACTGGGCAGACCTGGTGTTGATTGCTACTGCCAACATGAAAGTGGTGCCGCGGTATTGCAGCTCCAGTTCTTAATCAATGAGGTAAGGCTATATGTACAATGTGCAGAATCTTCTCTCCTTAAACTTGGTTGACTGGTGCAATCAGTAAAATTTTGCAGAGTAACTTCCAGACAGTTTCTTGCTGACCCCTTAGTTTGCCTTGTGGACCTGATTCTGCTGTTCATACTTGCACTCAGAAGTATAATTTTCTGTATAAATAAATAGCGCTATGTGTAGTATAAAGTATTACTCAGATAAATATGGCTGGTAAAATCAGGGCCTTTATATAGGGATATTAAATACTGAACAGAGAGCAAACTGCATATATGCAACCTACATTTTTGGATCTGTCAGAAATGGCACTAATAGAAAAAAAATTCTGCTTGTCTGAAAAGTCATCTCAGAGTACTCTGAATAATCAGAACTGATCCTAATAAATTATACAGCAAGTGGTTTGAGATCCACCTCCTGAATGAAACTTAACTCTGGAAATTATTATTAATAATAACTATTAATTATGGGGTATTAAACCTTCCCCCCCCCCCAATTGAAGTAGGGCAGCTTCCTCTTTCTCCATATTGTGTAGGGCCCGGAAGGAAGAGGAAATACTGAGTACAGATGTTTATCTGCTGAAAGTTCTGATGCCACAGCAGACCCTGGCAGCTGGGAAGTGCAGCAACAGAGATAAGCTTCATCCCCTGCAGCCACAGATGGAGTATACTGGGTCACTCTGGGAGATGCACACTGTACATACGCAGTCCAGTCAGCATGGAGGAGCTGTAAGGGTTGACACTTGCTTAGTGCAGACAGAATCTCAGAAAATGTAGCTTCCAAACACTAACAAATCTCTGCTGAGCATGTGCAACCTATTTTTTGGTCATTATTTTGAAAGGCACTCAAATTGGCTATATTTGAGCATGAGGAAGCCAAAAGGCACATCCCTGACACATAGACCACATCCTGGCAAACTTCAGGCTCCTGTTCCAAAGCATGGAGCATTGTAGGTTCTCAAAAAACAAAACAAACAAATAAAACCCGCAACCATGTTAATATATGCAAAACAACTTTTTTCTTAATCTTGTTCTGAAAAATGACTGAATCATTTTAGCTGAAACTTTTCAGTAAAACTCAGCCTGAGGCAAACATCTGGCAAGGAATGTTTCATCATGAACAGTTAATGTTTGGTGAAGTTATATGCAATTTGAAATAGGGCTTTAAAATGGAAAGTCTCAGGCAGCCTTAATTATAAGTGTAACTGCCCATAGCATACTCTTAGTTAGATACAAAATGCAGGACAATGTAGCACTTTAAAGACTAACAAGATGGTATCACAAACATCCCACTCTCCCTACCTCTAATATCATCAATTCACAGACACTTACCTTCCTTCCTCCCCCCGCCCCTGCATCCCCCTCCTGTTCTGCAATGTGATTTGTCCTTTTCATATTTGTTCATTTTTTTAAAATTGTATCCTTTGGTATATATGGTTGTGACTACTTTCTTCCACTATTTGATCTGAGGAAGTGCGTCTGGCCCACGAAAGCTCATCATCTAATAAACCATCTTGTTAGTCTTTAAAGTGCTACATTCTCCTTAGTCCAGGTTGCCTACGTTAGATAGTTTAACATAGGTATTTAACATGTAAATAAATAAAACATAACCTAAATAAATTATACATGGAGTTTAAAGGAAACATGCTCATAGTCAAACTGAATGAAACATTTCTATTTCTACTTTTTTTTCCACTTACTAGCAAGACTTTTGAAGTATATGTGTGAATAAACGTGTGCCATCATTTTGTCATATGAATCACACTTGCTTTCTTTCTGACCTTAACTTTTGTCATTCTGTGCTCCCCTGCATCATGTATTCCCCTGCTGCCTATTCATTCAATGTTTTCTTTACTAGCTCCTTTACTTCCTTATCTATAGGGTTTTCTGTAGCTTGGATCTCTGTCCTCTCTTATTTCTATTCTTTATACATGTTTATCTTTTCTGATGGATTTAACTAGTATATCAAATCTGATAGTTCTGGATTTACCTCTTTCCGTATGCACTCATATCTAAGAATAGATGCCAGAGGTAGAGCTACAGATGTTCAACCACCATCTCAAACCCCAGTCTTCTTACCTTGCTTCCCTTCTTACCTTGATTGAGAACTCCACTTTCCTTCCTGTTCCCCAGGCCCATAAGCTTTCCTTTCCCCCATACTTCCATAACCAGTCTTTAAGTCACATAACTTCTTCCTGTTTATTAAAAAGGTGGATTTTGGTTGCAATTGTCGACCACTGTCCCTGTGCTTATGGTGCCCATTTCCAGGGGTCTATTGGAGGGCCCCAGAGTCATGCGTGGCCGAGGAAAGCACCCACACCTTAACCCAAAGGTGGGCTGGATCCAGCCTGCCAAGCGGTTTGCTCTAGCCCGCCCTGCTGCCCTGGCCAATCAGGACCTATGGGCAGAGAGTGCAGGTCCTGATTGGCTCAGGGGTAGGGGTGTGAGAGAGAGGCATTGCACATGTCCCCCATCTCCAGGCCAGCAGGGCCTAGTGGCAGGGGTGTGCGCAAAGTCTCCTTCTCCCACCAGGGGCATGCAGCACCAGAGGGAACTGCCAGCTGTTCAAAACAGCTGGTTCCCCTAAGCGCGGTGTGCCCGTGGGGACTCTGCTCCCCCTTTCCCAGGAGCACGCTGTACCTAGCGGGAACCACCCCTTCTGCCTGAGGCCCTGCCCCTTCTGGGGGCGGAGCCTACTGGCAACCACTACTAGAATTGGTGAAGTGGCCCCTTTACAAAAATTATTGCCTATCCCTGCCCTAAGCCCACTCCTGGGCAGCAGTGCTGGGTGGCAGGGTGGCACGGTGGCTGGGGAAGCACCTTCCATCCCCAACTGTTCCCAGGCAGCCGAACCAGGCATGGCAGTGGAGGAAGGGTTCCCCCATGCTCCCAAGCCTGCTCCCAAGCATTAAGATGGGAAAAGCCTCTGTGACCCCAGACACTGCTCCTAGGTGGCAACGTTGGGTGAGCACAGAGGAGAAGCGGGGAGCCCCACAGCCTCTAACCCTAGCAGTAGCCATCTAGTCATGGGAAGCCCCCAGTGCTCTCCCAGCCTAGTCTCTTGCAGAAACCAGGGGGAAGCAAGGCAAGACCCAGGACTGGGACTCCTGCAGTGACACCAGAACTGGAGGAGTTCTTGCAATCTGTAGCAGCATAAGGGCTGGGGCAGCCTGGAGCTACAGTGGTGAGACAGAGCTTCTCTGGCTTTGGGGTCAGAATGTGGGGGCCCGAGTGGATCAGAGGTGGGGATTCGGGGAGGGGCCAGAAAGGGGTGGAGTAATGGGCAGGCTCACATGGAAGGGGACAGAATGAGGGCAGAACTACAGGTGGGAAGGGATGGATTGGGGCCCAAGAAACTTTAATATGTTTCTGGTGTCCCCACATGCCATTTCCTATCTTAATTACTTTGAATCTTCTCATCTCTAGTTCATGCTTCTCCACTGTGGCCAAACATTGATGAGCTTTTCATCTTTTCTATCAACTCTTGACCACATCACACCCTTCAAGTCCCTTTGTTACTGTCCTATCTTGTACTATATTGAATTGAAATGATGCAAGGGCCAGCATATCAGATTGAAAAGAACAATTAATGGGGACTGTGATATAAATCCAGGGTGCCTAAAGAGAACTCTACTTGTAACAGTCACATTTTCCGCCTGGCTTCTTAGACCTAGATTAAAGCACTTCCTTCTGTTGGGCAGTGGCTGATTCTTGCATGCTATACCATAGCGATCATGCACTTGCTTTTTTCTTGGGCCTCTCCCCTTGCCATGAGCTCATTTCTTTGGGATTGCTGAGTCCATGTAGCAGCACATGCTCTATCCTGCAGTTGCTCCTCAGAAATCATCTGATTCTTCCAGTCAGATGAGATATAGCAGCTGGAATTGGGCTGAATTTCCTGCCCGCCCTCTAACTGAGGAAGGATTTCTCCTCCTAGGGAAATTCTGCATTACTGCACATGTGCAGAATTCATAGCCTCCTCAGATTTCTTTGCTTCCCTGCAGAAAAATGACTTCTGATGGGGGAAGTAAAAGGAAACCACAAGAGCAGTCATGAATCCCTTCCCAGCAGTGCAGGCAGGTCGGTTTGAGTGCCCAGAGCAACTGGTAAAGATGTAAAAACTCTGCTGGGGCGGAGGGTAAGGTCATGCATGTGTGTGTGTGACAGCATGGAGGGGTAGGGTTTGGGGGTTTTTTCTGAGGAGGTAGGTTTGGGGCAGACTCTGCCCCCTCAGGCAAAGCAGAATGTAGCAACCTGCCTGATTAGTAAATTCCTCCAGGAGTATAAAACTGGTGTAACAGTTATAAGGCTCCTTTACATTGACAAGAGTGGTGAAAAGGAGCCTTATTGCATGGCCTTATAAATGCTTATCTTGTTTTAGTGATTAGAGCTGGTTTAACTTTTGGACTGTAAAAAATTCCTATCACTTGTGGTCTATGAACTGTTTGCTACTGACCTTTCTAGAGATGGTCACTAGTCTACATAAATTGTGAGTTTGAATCTCCAGTTCTCACTTGCTCTTCAGTTGCCTATGATGTAATACTAAGCATATGGCTGCATATAATTATTGAATATTAATTACAAATAAAGGTTCATCAATGCTAGCTAGATTCCTGTTAGAGAGCATTTGGGGATTTCCTCCAGTGTTCCCCAAACCCATTCTCCATCCACTGTACTGTTGTTTAAGTAAGTTACCAAAATAATTGAAACCAGCATGATTACATTGCATTATTTTAAGAAGTAAAATATGAAGAATTTTGCATTTTCTGTTATTTTCTGTTAGTCAGACCAAGATCACAGAAAATGCAAAATCAAGAATGTGAAGAGCACATCAAAGAAAGAGGATAGGGATAAAAGTAGGAATACTGAACAGGGGAAGCTAGTTTTTCTTTCCTGTTGTGCTAAGCACATTCTCCTTGCTTCAAATGCCTCCTTCAAACCCATCTTTTCTAGATAATACATCCTCCCTTCTTATTCCTATTCTTCTGCACTCTTCCTGATTTATCAATCAGAAACACAGTTAATATCACATCTTTAATACTAGAATGAAATATTGACTTTCCACATCAGCTCAAATGTGAATATTTTAAATTAGTAAAAGATCAGCCAAAACAAAGTAATGGCTATCGCAGAGTAATTTTTTTTTTTTTTTTTTAGAAGGAAGGAAGTATTTCACGGATGTTTTACTCCTGTCTACTTACAAATCTTTGTCTTATTCTTCAATATTCTTCCCTTTCAATATGCAAATGAATAACATTCCACCATGATCTGTCTCTGATTGCTGTAGGGTGCCTTGGTCAGTGCAAGTGCAGATGACACACTTCATTTGTGGAACCTAAGACAGAAACGGCCGGCTATTCTTCATTCTCTGAAATTTAACAGAGAACGGTAAGCCAGTTTGACAATAAACAAAAACGTCATTTTAAAAACTGACTAGCTAGATTTTGTTGACCTATCAGTGGTGGAAGGATTTGGTTTTGCCTACGGGTTCCTTTTTTTGTGTGTGTAGGGGGAGGGGATTTTGCAGACTTAATGATGAAGTTGATGTCCTTGAAAGTTTTTGTTCATTTATAACTTTTAAAATATAGCTTACAAACAACATGATTCATCAGAGTGCTGTTTGTGGTGCAGTAATACCCCTCAAGTCTATAGAATCTATTTCTGCTTCCCATTAGGGTTGTAAAGGACTAGTTGACTATCTGATATCTGATAAGCAAATGCTTATCGGATAGTTAACAGGATAATCGACTAGTTGTTTCCCCTCCTCCCCGCTGCCTCTCTCAGATAGAGGCAGCAAGGGAGGGAGATGGGGGTACTTAAAAGTGACAGCGCCGCATGGAGTCTATGCGCTGCTGCTTTGAAATGCCGGGTGGAGCCCGGGATCAGCTTGGGACTCCCCAGCTGACCCCAGGCTCCACGTGGAGTGCCAGCTTTGAAATGTACAAGAGTCCCCAGAGGGGGCTCTTGTGCATTTCAAAGATAAAGCACTGCATGGAGCCTGGGGTCCCACTGACCCCAGGCTCCATGCGGTGGTTCCTCTTTGAAATGCACAGGACCCCCTGCTGGGGACTCCAGTGCATTTCAAAGGGGAAGCACAAGGTGGAGCCTGGAGTCAGTGGGACTTCCAGCTGGCCCTAGGCTCCCACTGGAGCTCTTGTACATTTCAAAGGCAGAATGCAGAAGTGCTTATCGAGTAGTTGATGGAAATTCTATCGACTACTTGACTAGCAAATTAATCGCTACTTAACATCCCTACTTCCCACTAAAGATGAGCTTCTGTGACCATCTAATTGTGCAAATTTGCACAACTAACAGGTCATTTTAAGGACAGGAAAGACTGCTACAATCTTCTATTGTGACATACTACACAACACAGGCCATAAGTCCTTCACACAATAATTCCTGTATTTAAAGAATTTTCATTCAGCATTTTCCTCTACTGTGTAACGATGTAGAATCCAATTTTCAACATGTACTATTATTTTACAATAAATACTGGTACATTAATATAATAATGTTGGTGTGTAATATAATTATGATATGTAAATCTAAGATGATTCAGAGATTTGCTTTCATGATTAGTTTTGCTTTGTGAATGGCTAATTAGAAGTTTCAAGACAAAATAGCTTAAATCAGTGGTAAAGTTTTTCAAATTTAGCTACCTATCTATTAGCCACTTTTAAATATGTCTGTATTTTCAGAGATGGTGAATGTGTAACTCATAGTGACATCATTTAGAGCTGCAGGTAGAGGAAGGATTATAGCAGAGCTTAAATTTTGACTGTTCTAAATTGTCTAAAATTTTATGGTTACTGGGATTGCCTTGATATTGGTGTGCCTCATGCAGAGGGAGCTGTTGAATCAAGTGATTCCTAAAATACCCCATGAGAGGGGAGGAAGCAGTAAGAGTGGGGGTGGGCAGCTTTTCTTGAAGTTGACTTATTCTGGCAATTCCTTTTTTGTGCACAGAGCTCAAACCCTGGCTCTTAACATTGCACTAGGATCTCCAGTGCTTGAAGGCTACCCCAGTAGAATGTGGGGTACCCAGCAGCTCTTTAGAAAGGAATCAAACAAATAACATTATTTGAAAAAGATTTTGCTTCTCCCATTTGTCAGGTACCAAGCAGTTTTGAAGTTCATGTGTCAAACAGATTATTCCCAGAATGCATGAACAGAGTTAAAAAATTTTTAAAGGCTGAATTCTGTTACTAGCTGGATATCCCAAGGGACTAAGCAGTAGTCCTTTATACCTAACCTTTTGTGTCAGTTTAAGTTGCACTTTGTGCGGAAATCTTGAAAAGATCAGAATTACAGTGATAAGAACTGTCTGTCAGGCGGTGGTTTGATTTTTTTTTTTTTGAGAGCAAGTACTTTGATTACCTTTCCCCTGTTCCCCCTCCCCTCCAAAAGAAACATAAATGTTTACTGGCAAGAAAGGGACATTTTAGGATGCTGGAGTGGAGGGAATAAGAATAAGAAGGATTTGGGGTTGCATTGAAGAGAGGGGGGACTATGAGGGGAGGGTAAATGAGGATGAATGGTAGCAGAGGTGAGAGGAATTAGGTCACTCAGGTGATCTAGAAGGACACTGGGAAGGAGACTGGGGAGAGTGCTGGCAGGGGTGTTTTGCCCCATGTTTTCTCCTTCTGTCTGTCTGCCAATATTTGGGGACCCTTTGCCCTTCTAGGGCAATCTGGGCCTCTCTCCCTGCCCCATCTTCATGTGGGCTGCAATCTGGGATTCCTTGCCCTTGAATGGTGGTTGAGCCCAATTCACTTGGTATCCTGTAAGTGTGAAGTGGTTAAGTTTCACAAGTGTGATATTCTGTCAGGAGAGTACACAAAGTTTTTGAGGGTAGACTAGAAACGGGTAGCTCCCTTCCTGCACAATGAAAAAGTAGACTGCAGGAATGTGAACATATTGGCTACGTCTACAATAGCCCCTTTTCCAAAAGGGGCATGTTAATTTCACAGGTCGTAATAGGGAAATCCGTGGGGGATTTAAATATCCCCCGCGGCATTTAAATAAAAATGTCCGCTGCTTTTTTCCAGCTTTTAGAAAAGCCGGAAAAGAGCGTCTACACAGGCCCCGATCCTCCGGAAAAGGGCTTTTTTCCGGAGGATCGGGGCCAGTGTAGACGCTCTTTTCCGGCTTTTCTAAAAGCTGGAAAAAAGCAGCGGACATTTTTATTTAAATGCCGCGGGGATATTTAAATCCCCCACGGATTTCCCTATTACAACCTGTGAAATTAACATGCCCCTTTCGGAAAAGGGGCCAGTGTAGACGAGCCCATTGGGTTATCTCTGAGAGGACAGAGTTTAGGTTACATGGGCATATAACTTAACTTTCAATTTCCGGTTTTCTGATATTTGAGTTTTTCCAAACAGTGTTTTAGGGCAGCTTTAACTCTGTGTCAACAAAGATTATTGCCATTTATTACCTTTTTCGTTTGTGTGAGAAGGTTGTAGAACTCTGAAGACATCCAGAGAGACTTACTGTTGAGTGCTTGGGAGGAGCAAGCGGTTGTAGTACATGAAAGTTCCAGTCATATAGGGCAGTGGTTCTTCATCAGTGATTCAGAGCCCCCTGGGGGTCTGTGAGCAGGTTTCAGAGGATCTGCAAGGCATGACCAACATTAGACTTGCTAGAGTCCAGGACAGAAACCCAAAGCCTTGCCACACGAGACTGCGGTCCAGGCACTGAGCCCCACCACTCAGGATTGAAGCCAAATCCTGAGCAACTTAATTTTGTTTTGTTCCCTTTGGTGTGGGGGTCTTGGGCAGTTGTTCTGCTTGCCGCCCCTTAATGCTAGCCCTGGCTTTTATATACAGAAAATCAGTTGTCAGAATACAGCTGGGCTATGGAGTTTTTATAGCATGTTGGGAGAGAAGGGCTCAGAAGGAAAAAGGCTGAGAACCCCTGATATAGAGAAAGGAAAAAAGAAAGATCCTGTAGGTCAACTTTAGGTTGCTAGGTAAGAAAAAAAATTTAAAAACCCAACAAATAGTCCTGGAGAACCTTAGAGACTAACACAAAATGTAAATTGTATCCTGATCTTTCGTGGGCACAACCCACTTCCTCAGATGAATGGAGTTTAAGGGGTCAAAGTTCCAAATAAACAGCAGAGAAAGAGAGGGGAGGGGGAAGGGAGGGAAAGGAAAGGAGGAAAAAAATGGGAAAAGAATAGCTGATAGGGTTCTAAGTGCTCATAAGTACTTGAGGTTTGGCCTGTTACGTCATTAGGGTGTGAAATGTTGTGGGTAATCCAGTTAAGGTCTTAGTTTAAACCTCTATTGTAAGTACCAAACTCGTAAATGAAATTGTTCTGCAGCTTCCCTGTCAAGCAGGTTTTTGATATTGGCTTGTAATACAGAAACTTTTGAGATCCATTTGAGTGCCCGGGCAAGTGAAAATGTTCTCCAACAGGATTTCTGTTACCTTTTCAGTACAGAGTGGACTGAGTTGGCACCGGAGTTGATTGCAGGGGTGGGCTCCTGGATAATTATGATGGGCCTGTGTTATGTGATTGTTGGAAAGAATTTGTTTGAGTTTAGGGGGTCTGTAGGTGAGAATTGGTCTGTCTCCCAAGGCCTGTGTGAGAGAGGGGTCATTTTCCAAGATAGGTTGCAGATGGTTGATAATACATAGGAAGGGTTTAAGTTGGGGACTGTAGGTGATAACAAGTAGAATTATGTTGTTTTCTTTGTAGGGCCAGTCTTGAAGAAGCATAGGCCTGGGTATTCGTCTGGCTCTGTCATCTGTTTTTTTTTACTTCTCTGGGTGGGTATTTTAGTTTTAAGAATGCTTGATCTAGATCCTGTGGGTGTTTGTCTCTGTGGGATTAGAGCCAATCCAGTAGTATTTTAGGGCCTGGATATAAACAGTTGGGAAACGTGTCTTGGAGGTAAGTGTAACGGTTGGTAGGTTTCTGGTATGGGTGGTGGAAACGTGGCAATAATGTAATTGTACTGTAGTGTCAAGGACGTGGATCTCTGTCAGCTGATGGTCAGGGCAGTGTGTGTGTCTATGTTATACCCGAGTCTTCAACTGCTGGGACACAAGGTCCCATCGCAGCAGGAAGCCTAGGGAGGCTGATGGGTGCCCCGAGAAGTTTAATGTCCGTGTCTTTGACCGCTAGGACCAGGTCCCTTCACGGTGGGCAGCCAACAGGCTGACAGACGCCCCAGAGTTTACAGGGAGAGCTTATTACACTTCAGACTTTGACTGCTAGGATACATGATCCCTTCACAGCGGGCAGCCTAGGGAAGGCTGAGAGATGCCCCTACGGATCTGTCCTCTGGAAGCGACATGATCCAAATGCCCAGCTCTGTCTGTATCTGTCCCTTATGACTGGCTGGAGTTCTTTTAAATTGTGCTTGGTTCTATTA